TTAGATGTGACGAGGTCGCTTGGGCAGAATACAGACTGCTTAGTGTACCCTGCAGACACCAGACACCAATTTTGGGTCACTTGTGGGCCCCAGTCCTGTCCCTTAATGATTGAGCGTTTGGACTATTTACTCCTTTTAGTCTCATGTACTTTAATAGCACATTTTTGTCTTTCCTGATTGAGCCTAATATGTCTGTCCCACAGGTAGAGTTCTGAGTTACGGTAGTTCCGCATTTTACGAAATACTTACTCATCTTCTGTATCGGCTATAGTAATATTTTGAAAGAGTAATTGGGGCATTTTTCCAAAAGGCGCCGGAAACTTCAAATTAGCTTTTGGTCCATCCAACTGCATGTTGCATTTTTGGGTACGAACATCGCGCCTCCTCATTGGTTTTCAGGGCTTGTCCTAGCATAGGTTGCTGAAGAAATCCACGCAATTCTGAGAAGCCTATATATATGAATTTAAGGATTTCTGAACCAGTAGAAAATGACATCAAACATCAGCACACAGCGGTCGCCATGTCCCAGACAAGCATTAAATAACACTTGATCAACGGAATGCCTTTCTTTGGTGATGGCCAAATCCAGGAGGGATAGTATTTTGCCTGCGCGGTATCTGTTGAGTGTGATGACATGTGTCCGAACGTTCTGTCGAAATACTTTGGTCGGTGCCGATGCAACATGTCCTCTAAACTCCCTGCACTGGAGGTACATCCAAGAGGTCTTTGGAGCGTTCAGATAACCTAAAAGCAAGAGATGCGTAAAGCGGTGGCTGGAGGGGAGCTGCTCAGGTGCTTGGATGTAGAACTGGTTATCTTCTGTTGGACTCAAGGGGCAACTGTAGATCAGGTCGAGGAAAAAGGATCAGTCCTACGTAGTGGGATATGAATCATCATTGGATCACAAGAAGGTGAGGGGGTGACTTCGGAAATGCTAATCCGGGTGGGCAAGACCCCATGTGAGCATAAAGAAACCCCATCTGTCACCCTGCGTTTTGGGTCAGCTCGGGAAATAAAGTAGCACCCATCGAGATCTCCGCGCTAGACACAATACAGCACTTTCAACTGGCAGACACTGGCCACTGGCTCTCCACACATTACGCTTACCTCACCACCCACAGCACCTGGGAACTACGGATGACGCAAGGAACTTCGGCACGAAAACTTAAGCTTAGTGTGATGGCAACGGTTATGCCGGATGACGCGTGACATTAGAGCCTCCAGGAAGGCAAAACAAAGCAGAAGCTGGGTCTCCATTCAGTACTGATAATGTAAGACATCAATTCACAATTTACAGACCTCGATAGCATATACACATAAACAATAAATGGTCCACTTGGACTATAAAAGTATGAAACAAATGAACAAACAGGCTCAAACGCGAAATAGTGACAAGTAGACGGGGTCGGTCACAAAATGGCCGGACGACCTCAAGGTCAGATGAGTGAGTTTGTAAGGACGGACAAGTGCAAGTTCATAAAAATGAACCAAACACCAATGTGGAGTAAGTTTTACAAATAGTGACAGATAAATTTGCAACAAGTGCATTATTGACCATGGAAGCGAGTAGTAGCCTGACTCATTTCTTCACCAAAAGGTTCCACTTTACTAACGTTATCTTGGACCGGGCACCTAAAAATGCGTACGATGTCACCTTTTCTGCTGGAGTGTCGAGTTTAACCACACTAACTCCTAGGTATGCTAGAAGTCGTTGAACTCGTGTTAAGGAACAAACCCGTTGATTGCGAAGTGCCGGATCTGACGGACAAGTGCAAGTTCATAAAAATGAACCAAACACCAATGTGGAGTAAGTTTTACAAATAGTGACAGATAAATTTGCAACAAGTGCATTATTGACCATGGAAGCGAGTAGTAGCCTGACTCATTTCTTCACCAAAAGGTTCCACTTTACTAACGTTATCTTGGACCGGGCACCTAAAAATGCGTACGATGTCACCTTTTCTGCTGGAGTGTCGAGTTTAACCACACTAACTCCCAGGTATGCTAGAAGTCGTTCAACTCGTGTTAAGGAACAAACCCGCTGATCGCGAAGTTGCCGGATCTACCAACGGACTTGCAATTTCTATCCATTTTGCCATCTCCGAAGCAAACGAAGCGTGCATTGTGCTCCCGTATTCACCTCGGCTCGTTGAACTCGTGTTAAGGAACAAACCCGTTGATTGCGAAGTTGCCGGATCTACCAACTGACTTGCAATTTCTAGCCATTTTGCCATCTCTGAAGCAAACGAAGCGCGCATTGTGCTCCCGTATGCACCTCGGCCCATCAGGATGGAAAGCGCTTGCATTGAGATCTTGGGTAAAGCTGTGAATATGGTAGGCTCTTGGACAACGGTCTGCGCCTGCCTCATTTTGGTTAGGAAACTCGTGAAGCCGCCCTGTCTGGGAGTTTGTTTGGTGTGAATTAACGGCACGGTAGGACATCTTACGCCCCCTTCTGGAGTCACTTGCTAAAGTCGACTTCGAGCAACCCAGAGGCGCGAGTCCATAAACAATATCAAGTGTGTGAACGTTGCATCCCGGCCAGTCGTCGATATTCTGTCTACCGCATCGGCTCAATTGTGCTGCAGTTGTGAGGGAGGAGAACATGAAATTCTCTTAATTACATCAAGTGATTGAAAGTCTGAAAAGTAGTGCATTTTTGTCAGCCCAATTACACATCTTTGCATTTTTTTACACAAGTTCGGTAGGGAATTAGCTGTTTCAGTAGTTTGTCATGTCATTCGCAACAGGCTTTCAAGTAGAGAGCGAGCATTAATATGATTCTGACCAAAACGATTGCGTGGAACCCCCCGAAGCTCTGGAGTATGCCGCTTTCTGCGGGAGCATGACACATTCCTTAATGGACGCCTTCGCGTCGCCTTAGCAATAACGCAGTGAATATATGAGCTTCTGATGCGCGCCCTCCACCTTGCCCTCAGTATATATCTCATTGTGGTGTGAAACCCCAACAATAATTTTGATTACCAGTACGATAGTTCCACCTTGGGTAGTGCCACGGTTGCTACAAGTGGAGGATATAAATTACCAGCTTTGGTCCTGAAGAAGTCCGTCAAATATTACTGGCATACCCCAAACGTCTTTCACCTATCCGATGGCGTTTCAGGTACTGTGTTAACCGGTCTGTTGATACTACTGGTTCCAGGACTTCATCTGGTGGGTCATCTTCGGCCTCCAATTAGATTTTAGCTAGCTCCGTTTTGTTCCGTTCCCATAAGAGAGCCCGCCGCAGTTCGACCTCTCCCTTAACCCGATTATTCCGGAGCAGTGCAACCTTAGAGCTTTCAAAGCAAAACATCTTTTGCGACCAGATGCAGAAACTGACTTAAAAGGACCGAAGCACCAAGCGGAATTCATTACACTTGGTTCTTCTGCAGCTTCGATAGTTTCCGCAAAGTCCTGTGCTCCAGGCTTGTTCACAATAGCCTCAGAGGTTGGCATGTTTATTTCAAAGAAAAGAACATAAGATGTTGAGTACTGTAACGGAAACGGTAGTTTCGAGTGAGGTGTAGTACCAGAGCCTCAGGGGAGGCAAAACAAAGCTGGCTCTCGTGTGAGTTAGTCACGGGTAGATGAGGTTGGGAGACCTCAATGACGTTGGGGTCAAATTGGATGCCATATTTTTCGGCTTTCCGAAAGCACTCGATCGAGTCCTACAAGTTCCGCAAATCTAGTCTTGCAGGAATTGAGATTAATTTGTACACTGGGCTAGGGCGTTCCTATCGCAGAGATTATTCAGAGTGAGAGCAGGCTTGACCTAATCTTCTTAAGTGACGGTCTTCATTGGAGTTTCTCAAGGTTCCGTTTTGGGACCACTGGTGATTCTGACCCACTTCAGCGACCCTCCAGATGTTCTTTGAAGTCCATGCCTACCTCTTGCTCACGAGTTTAAACCCTGGATTTCCAATGACAGTGCCATCCAAATAGATGCAGACGCTGCAAAGCAGTGGGCGCTTCCTATGAATAACGAAAAATGTGCCCATATGACACTCGAGGAACACTCAGCCAACGCCTTTGACATGCATGGTGATAATAGATCAGGAGACATCACGAGGGACAACGCGTATCTGTCTCTCTTCAAACATGTCCTCTCCACTGTATTATGAGAAATCATCTATGAATGCATGCGCCGTTCTACGGATGATTTGGCGAACATTTTCTCTTAGGAATCGCACGGACTTTCAAAAACTCCATAGGGCCTATATCAGGCCGCCTGTCAACTATGCCAACAACCTGTCTACTCAGGAAGCACATAAGACGCAACCCGCAGTGAGCGTGTTCAGCGAACTGCAACTAAACTTGTTGCCGGCCTTAAATCACTGGACTATTAAGCGCTTTTGGTGGTGCTTGGCTTCTTTCCCCTGGGGTATTTTCACTTACGCGGAGATCTTACCCATACCTATGCCCTGTCTGAACAAAGTTTGGCCAGTAAGTTTTTCAACGTTGACCCAGCAAACACAAGCCCGGGGCACGGTAATAGGATTTTGAGGCTCAGAGTGCACACCTTCATTAGGCAATTTTTTCTCCTCCCGGGTAGTTGGTGCGTGGAATAACCTTTCGCTGACGGTTGTCCACACTTCGTCTAGTACCCATTTCAAGCCATTGTTGGACGCCTTTTTGTCGACACCGTCCGTTGACAAACATACTGCCCCGCGCTGAGAACGCAGACAGCAGTGTGAAACCTTCAGATGAACGGCAGTCGCTGAACAACGAGGAGAAAACAGACCCGAAAAACTTGGACGAAGGCCTTGATCTTGCTTGTCAATCCGTGGATCAGTTAAATGAATTACGTGGTAGTAACGAACAAACATCAGTTCGTACACACATCAAACTCAAATGTAGAGAGGGTGTTAGAGGAAGACGAAACGTGGGGAATTTCAAATGTCAAATTAACTGGAGATACAGCGGGGGCGATTATTTCATGTAATATATTATGAAACCTGTTCCATTCGTTGAGCATAACCGCAAATGAAGGTCACAGCCTTTCGGAATCGAAGGCGGGAAATATGGATGGCGCGTTTACGATGGAAGGTCCCCTGAGTAAATGGACCAATGTGGTTAACGGATGGCAATACAGATGGTTTGTATTGGATTTCAGCGTGGGAATTTTATTTTATTACACGGTGAGTGTAAGGATTCACTGCTATTCCGCTGTTTCTCGGCGGGGATATCGCCTGCACGTGCATGTTAAATTATTAGTTCACTGCCCAATTTGTGGCACGTGTAATGTTTAATGAATACGTACTTCAGTATTCCGTGATGTTTTTCGACAGAAAAATAATCCTGTGCGGTGGTACAAAAAAACGGAGTACACCGAACAGTCGTACGAGCTATCCCACGGGTATCAAATTTCGAGACACATAGTGAAGGACTGGAACAAGTCTCCAGTACCAATAGTCCAGAGATTCGAACGCCTGTTTCTTGGGATTTTGAATATCAATCACTCTTTGGGGCTGAAATATCTAGCCCACTCGCTGGTGGGCCGAGTATCTGACGGATACACTGACCTGTCTTAAATAATAAACAATGAAGATGTCGCCGCAGAATGATGTGGTAACTAATAAATGACAGGCCTCGGGGTCCTTCATAACATGCCGCACTATGATTGGGAAAGGAATACACATAGACGGGAATATTCAAGATGACTTTGAAGAATGCACAGGTCAGGCCTAGCAATTTCATGCATCGCATTGCTTCCAAGTCTCACAGTTATGAACCATTCGAATGTGCGTCACGCGGACCCCATTCTGGAAGGCGAGTTGCACCAAGTGAGTTGTCCTAACTCCAAGGTCAACCGCCTCTCTGCTTTCGCAATTCTAAATTGGGCACTGAGAACCGCACTCTTTTTTTGACAAACGACTGTTGGGTGTGCGTAATATTCCATACTAAACCCAACCTCTGTTGCCGGACCTTCCTGGATGGAAGTCCTCATTTGACAACCGAACGCCTTTTCTATTGGATTTACTGGTATCAGCCCTTTCAAGCTATCATTCTGAGATAAGAGTTATCAAAGACCTGAAGACATCTCGATTTCGCTGCTCATACACGCCGGGTTTCTTAACCATATTAAATCAATCCGCGCTGTAACCCGGCGCGCACCCCTTGAGACCCATAGATACAAGGCGGTGTATATACCGCTTTCCCGCGATAAGTGTTTCAATTTACCAAGCATGACTCGGGCCCTAGGCATTCGTGCAATTGCTTCACCTGTCACAACGGTAGGAAGTAATACTATCAAGGTCCGCAAAACGCCTCCACGACTTCGATGGCTTTCCTTGGATTGTTGATAGTTGGTTCAGTGGTTGCATATCCAGAGCAAGGTCTCGCACGTTATGGGTACGAAACGGACACCGAAGCACGGGATGACCGGTCAGTTCGTTGAAAAGTATTTGCACCTTTTTCTCCCCACGGAGGACGTCTCCCTATTCTAGACCGGCAAGGTTTCACTCTGCTACTATTTGAACACTAGGATTCCTGAGACGCGTATGAATAGCTAGGCAACTGAGTGACTAACAGGTCGGGATGTTAGGTGAGTTTATCAGAATCATCTGGATTCTGTTCCAACTACTCCACTGTTGGGTGTGAACTCATGCTAGAACGAGATCACTACATCTTTGCATGGTGTTGGGAGTCTCACTCGTGGCACGATGCTACCAGGCCCTTTCAATCGCTGGATACTACGGAACAGTGGTATTGTTTGAACGTATGAGAAACGCCCCCGTGGGCCTCGAACATAAGTTGGCGCGACGAATTTTCAGACTTCAATTGCAGGTAAGCTTGCGAACCCGCCGTGAAACTTGGTGGACACAATAGCCGGAGGAAGTGGAGGAGGCCCAGAAATCCCGGAGGACCGGAGAATTATTTCAGTTGATCCCCACGAACGGTCCCCGGTCCGTGAGTGAAAGCACCAAGGATGGCGTGATTATCCTGAACAAACAAGGACACCTCGACCGCTGGACCGAATCCTTCGAACAACCTCGTGTTTACCCTCTGCCGCTGATTTAGATCCTACAGCTGGGGTAGGACCCTGGATATGAAACCTGTAGCCCCCTACGGCCTCGGATATTTGCGACCTTACATTTCCTCTCAAACGCCACCGAGCTACTGGTCCTTATGAACTTCCATCCGGTGGATCCTTCAATCAGCGCTTGTCTAATCTGCCTCCATTTGGGAAAAGACTGTCCCAGACAACTGGGCAGAGTCGATGGTAGTGCCCATTTTCAAAATACGGACTCATGGTGCGTGTGGTGACACAGGGGAATCAGCTTGACCCATGTCGTAACGGGACTGATGGTGTCACTTGTGCTTTGTCGTCTCAGTGATTTTTGAAACACTATTTCGAGAGTAGGAAGCAGATTCCGACGTGCCAGAACAACGCGTACATATAAACAACCACCAACTTTAGTATTCTTGGAATTCCAAAGCGCATACGACTCGGTCAACCGATCGGATCTTCTTGAGACGCTTACCCAGCAAGAAATATCCCGGGAGTTTGTGGACGTAATAAGTTTTTCGTATTCGCGGAATTCCAAGCGACTTAGGATGCAAGGATGGCCCTCCGTGTACATAGGGATATCCCTCAGGGTCGCCTACCCTCTCCATTCGTATTTAATTCGGTGGGCATGTAGCCAAGGCGTGCGCTACTTACAACCCCGGAAAATGTCCTGGAAGTTGTGGAGCGTCTCACTTATCTTGAAAGTTCTATTACTTCCGGTTTTAGTGTGATAGATGAGGTTAATTTACGGATCTGAAAGACTCTGGTAGGGTTTGTTATTCTGAAAAACCTGTTGCATCAAAGCGGTATATCCCTGAATCTCAAGGGATATGTGCGTCAGGCTTTAGTCCGGACTGTTCTGCCACATGGCCTTCGGTTCTTCAACAGCCGTTGTCTTAAAACCATAGCTCCCGTGGGTTGGTGTCTGTGGATCCATAACTAGGCAATTAGAAAGCAAGGTTGTGATTGTGCAACGGAGGCTTCCACTGTGTGGTGTCCCCAGCACCATAGGTTGCTTTGATTAGGCAATGTATTGCACACGTCGAACCGTCGTTTGGTATGCCCAATTCAGGATGGCGGCAGCAGGCGCGAGGTATGAAAGAAATGACTCATCATCATTATCATCATCGTCGACAGCCTGATATTTTTCAACACTGATATTTCGTTGCTTTACAGAGCTCACGAAAAGTCGGTGTTGTCCTTGCTGCTCTCCTTGCGTGGTGCGAACTTTGTGATCCCCACTGGGCCTGCTTCGAGAAGCTGGAGGATTAGACTGCTGATCGATGTTAGTAAATGTTTGGGTGTGCATTGACCTATGACTGTGGTAGTTTAGTAGTAAGTTACTTCTTTCAAATCATGGCAGTCTTACAGCTCGACATCGGGGTTAGGCTGACGATAATGATAATGACGATTCTGAAAACATTGCGTTCGCCTCTATGTCGTCGATCACGAATTAAAATTGGAATGGAGTGGTGTACTTATCGGACATCATCATGTGTACAAAATTTTTTGAAGTCCTGTATGCTTTTACGTCGATGTTGCGAGATTCGAGTGGTCCCTGGTTCGGGTCCCAGTCTACCTAGTCTTGCAGCAGTAGCCTACTCGTGTCAGACAGGCGACATAAGTGGATACCAGGGCACATCCTTCGCTGGCACCCGTGTCATGCCTGTTGATCGAATCGACTGAAACAGGGCACCATCTCGCCTGCCAGGATGACTATCGGTTCTTCTTCGGTTCGGCGAATAAACACCGTTTACCGCATTGATCTTATTTCTACAAGACCATCATACGGCGCAAAGGTGTCTGTTTACTGGGATCCATTCCAGTAAGGCGCTTTCAGTCTTGGGGCTGAGTGCAACTCCCACACTTCAGATACCACGAGTCATTGCTTCGGGATCACCACATACCCGAAAAGTGAAACGTGGAACACTTGTACTCGTTCTTGTCATGGTCGAGGTTGGGTCTTGTATGCGTTTCAGAGAGTGAAAGCAAGGTTTCAGAAAGAGATGCCTGCCTCCCAATTTGACAAAGTTTGGGCATTCAAGGCTGTAACGTCGATCACATTTTTTGAGATTGGTACGTGATTATTTTGATTTGGTTTTCTGGGCGACGGTTTAGACACGGAATAATAGCTAGGGGACTGGCAAATGAGTTGATCGTACTGCATCATTCGATGGGGAGATGGCCTGTGAGTGAAGAGCTGCAAAAGCGAATGATACGCCTAAAAAGGGTGTTTGATTGAGATACTCGATCTTGAACCTTGACTCAAAAGTCTGACCCACAAGACAGCGATTGTCGGGGCTTTTTGGGGCACCCTTACCGGAGCTGAGACTCAGTAATCTGATCAAGTTGGTCGCAGGTGCCGGCATTCCCCAAGTACGCAGGGAGCAAAGCATTGCTGTCTGACTGCTAGTGCTTTCTGGATTATCGGGAGGGATAGACTCGTGATATTCGAACATGGATTTGCCGTGGCCGAGGATGCGTCGGCGTTTCTTTACGTCGAGACAAGTTTTCGAACGGCGCCGCTCTTTCAAACGTCCCACGTTGATCCTTTTTGTTCTACAAGCTTGTTTTGTCTCAGTTGGCGTCGGAATCCTTGAAGGCGTTTGGAGGTCGAAGATGTTCCCTTTAACCTTATATTCTTCATTAAATCACTGAGCCCAAGCTGTCCCAGCGGTTAGAGCGCGGACTCACCCAACCCCCCTCCCTCGTCTATTCCGTCTAAGCTTGGGCAACTCGGCAGTATTTTATCTCTGGTGCTCTCGTTCGCTATACTACACTTTTCCTAACGCACGTTGCTGGTCTGCCCAGTACCATTAGTCATGTACACGTGGTAATAAATTGTCGAGGAGCGGTAAATGACAATTATAGTAAATGATAATCGTTCAGCTGTAAAAACCCTTCCGGTGCCTAGTTGCCACACCAACCGAGGGAAGCACGAGGTCCTAAATACTGTCAGACCGTCCAAGCTTAAACAGGAACAGTCGAGATGCAGAGGTCAGGTTTGAACAACGGAACTTCCGATAAGTAAACTCGCGCTCGAAACACTGAGCTATTTCGGGCTCTTTCAGTGACACAGACCTTCGAGACGCTTCAACTGTCTAAGAGTATTCGAACAGTTGAAAACTGCCTATAAATGTTGATGGCTACACCTATTCGTACGCATCGACACCGTACATCCATGAGGTGCTGCTTTGGGTGGGGCAACGTGAAAACCCTTGGTTTTGTGGTTGCGAATTTTCCAAGGTCAAGTCTGTGTTGGCGAGGAGTAAGGTCGCCAACATACTCAGGTCATTCGGTGATCTTATACTGGCGTCATCCAGAGCCCCCCATTTCACATGCTTGCCTGTGTTTTCAGTATATGATGGTTGCAAGGCGTATTCACATACTTCAGAGAAATACAACAGACAGAATGTAATCAAAGGGTTCAGCAAACCAAGAAGAAAGTTGAATGGAGGGGCAGACTCGAGTTCCGAATGTTCCCATAGTATTACTACCGAGGTTGAGGTGACGTGATTATCCTCTCATGAATGTTACTGTTAGCCTGCGAGCTACGGAAGATACTCTGCCATTTTTCGGAAACCGCGACTCCTTTCTCCACGTAGCCACCCACTTTAGTGATCAGCGAGTTTGACACGGTATTTCTATCCAAAAACTGGATATGCATCTGAGGGGCATGTATAATAGCTCTTACCCATCCAGTGAAAGATTTCTTTAGGCATCTCACGCTTGATCATTTCTCAGCATAAGCCCGGTAGCTCCATTTCCGTACTACATATCAGGTCAGTTCTCTCGGTTGGTTTGACAATCCAGACTTGGATAATTCCAAACCCCTGACAATCCATACCCGTTTCATCCATTTTGAACCCCCGACTATGTAGAGGTCTGACGAACACAGTCTCCTGGCCCTCCAGGTTGGGGGTTGGAACATGTGGCGACTTGTTCCGTAGAAATGGTAATGCATTTGCATTTCCCGCCAAACACCGCTGCCTTGCGGTTAGGCTTTTGAGCCAAAGGCTTTGGTTGAGGACCCTAATCGTCCTCCTGTCTAGGTGTGGGCACCCTGGCAGTATCCCAGCCC